AATTAAACATGGTAATATTTGTTTGCTTATTAGTTACCTTCAGCAATCATATCAACAACTATTAAAATCCAAAAAAGGAATATGATTAGTAAAAATTATAATTATTAATTGATTGTTTTATTAATTATGAATACAAACCATTTGCTTCGACTTTAACATTTTGTAAAGGGATTGATTTCTCCTGTGAATCAAGAGAAACATAAATAAGGCCATAAAGTTGCATTTTTATTATTATTATTATTATTATAAAAATAAGAGAAAAAATTTTTTTGATATAATAATAAATTGCAAGTTTATATATAGATTGGATGATATATAATACATACGTAAACAAAACTTGTTAAAATCTTCTCACGGAGAAATTTTCGTAGCCGCGGTATGTTGAACAAGAAATACAAGATAAAAAATATTTCCTATTTAATTTAATTCATTTGATTGATTTGGGGAAATCAAACTTTAAAATTTGTAAGATATATATATACTTGGCCGTCGGCAAAAATATTTTTTCTTCTATAGAAACAGTTATGTGTTTATGGACTGTGAGCGCAAAAGCATACTGAAGTGGAGGTTATTTTCTAGAGGCTTATCTTTTCATTGCTTTCAAAACAACTTGTTACACTATTCTGCTAAAACCTCTATATTACTGTTTGAATAATTTATTCTTCACACAATTGTACAACTGCGCATAATAATAATATTTCTAGACTCGTGACGGGACAATGATTTTCTGTGGTGATGGAACACTAACTCCGCCCGTGCTAAAAACAAATTCCGTATGCGTGCTGTGGATTAAAAAAAACTATCGTGTAATTTCCATTATGCATTCTGCAGTAATTTTGTAGTTTTATGATTTTTCAAAAAGAAAACGAATCTATAGTTAAACGATTTGATGATGTGCAATCGGAAAGAATAATTACGCGACAATTAAATTAGTTATTGTTATTATTATTTAACCTTGATATTTTTTCTTATTTAAAAAATATTACAAAATGGAAATCCACCATTAAAATAAAGCATAGCATATTTAAACTTTGGTAAAGATTCTTCAAATAAAATTTATCGATTATCATCTAAAATTGAATTGCATTTAGAAAAACTTCGTTATACTACAAGAAAAAATCGGCAACCAGCCATTTGACCAAATTAATCTAATGCAACTTCTATATTAAACGTGGATCCACAATAAATTGCCCATTCATTTTTTTAGATTCAGAAGAAGGAAGAGAGGTATTTGCTATTAAGGTGGTCATCAACCGTTGACTTTCATACCCAATCAACAGAATGGTCCACTGTCAATGTGAAATTCACTTATACTCTAGTATTGATTGTAATTGTTGTTATTGTAGCTCTAAAAAAACAATTATCACGTTACATAGTATTTTCCGTTTTTAAACACACATTCCATGATTTCTGCGTCAACGCTATGATTCGAAAGTACTTTAAAAAAAATTGTGACCGCCTTACGGTAGATTCGATTAATAGAAAAAAAAATTTAACTCATACCAAAAAAAAAAAGAATAAAAATAGTAAAAGAATTCCTTATGATTCATGCCAACAACATTTCATCACATGACCTAAGTTTCAAGAGTTTGTCAGTGCTAAAAAAGTTATCTGCAAATGTGGTCAAATTATTTCACTTGGAGTCAATTATCAAGTTGTAACCTTTAAAAGATTATTTCTATTAAGGTTTATCTTCCAGTATCACAACGGTGAAAATTTGGCAGGAGACATTATAATTCATATCACACCACTAGAAGTAGTTTATTTTTTGGGATTACTCTGATATCATATCAATGACGTTAATATATTAATCCTTGTTTGATTGTAGTAAATGATAAAATATTTTAGTATGCCAAGTACACAAAACTTCCTTGTATATATTTTTAATTAGTGAAGATAAATTTCACATGCCATCGACTATTTTGATTTGCATTATTATTAATAATTTTTTAAATGCGTGTTTAGAAAAATTGATTTCGCGTTAATATGATTTTCATTTAATTGGGCGGTCACATACAATGGAATTTTCCCGGTACTGGTATATATTAATATAGTAACAGTGCAAGACACTTAACCCCCACAACTTTCTGTGCCACAGCGCCAATTTTGGGGTCTGATTCATTTCATCGACCATATGATTTTAGCATTGATTATGTAATTTGTTTAGTTGTTAGTCCTGTGATTGAATCTAGGAATCATGATTTTAGAAGCATCAGGAAATTTAAATAAAAAGAAAATTTGGATACTAATCAGTTTTGCAAGCATATTAATGACTGAATTTCATGCATCTTGAAAAGAATCATATCTATGTTTTCTAGGAACTGCTACTTACAACAATTGAGAATTGAAAATTTTCTTGTACAAATATTACAATTATTTAAAAGATATTCTTTTGACACGACAATTTCTTTGGGTGCTTGGGCTCAAAGCGTGGTTACGTTAATAACTTTTATATCATGTATCATTGGAATTGGTGATTATGTTATTGCTGTCATGTGGAAGTGGTGTTAATAATTAATTTATTGATTGATTGAATAATTTTTATTTCTTATCTCTAACAAAGGAGCCAAGAATTTATGGAAATAAATAAAAGGAACATTTAGGAGAATGATTGCTTCATGCCAGATTGCTTTGGAAAATGTTCCTGGTACTTAATTGATAATATTATAATGATAACAATTACACAACAGCCTTTCAATTTTATACAATGTTAAGAATTATACGCACAATTCTCTATGTTTTGGACTTTGATATTACACGTTAGCTGATAGTCATGTATTTCTTTGCAAAAACATTTAATTTTTAAATATGTCAACCCACTAATAAATATGCTGCAGTTGTGGATGAAAAAACATGATTATATGTAGTAACCATTCACATAATGATGCTGTTTGGTTATTTTCTTTGGCTCTTATAGCAGAATTTGAAGGCTATTACTCAAATGTTCTAGCTTATTAAATGTGTTTAATTAATTATAGAATTACATATATTTATTCTTATAAAAAAACATTTTTGTAAAATAAATATTTAATAATATTATGATTATTATGATTGCTATTACTATGATTATGCTTGCCATTCCTCTTCATCTATATAATCATTTCTCCTCTCTCTTCCTAATACACTTCTCTTGTTGCTATTATAATTAATTAATCGTTACAATTTAGGTTTGCAAAGATTACCACCATCAACAGTTACCAATGCACCATTAGTAAATGCACCAGCTTTACTCGCCAAATAAATACATGTGCCAGCAACATCTTCCGATCTACCAATTCTGCCCAATGGTACATTTGAGATCACCAATTTTTTATTAGCATCAAGAAAATTTTTTGTCATCTTTGACTCGAATGGACCTGGTAGCACACAATTAAATGTCACATTACGATTTGATAAATGCCCAGCCATGACTCGAGTTAAATGGATTAATGCTGCTTTGGATGCAGCATAAGCATATCCTTCTGCAAGTGGGACCTGTACGCCTTTAATAATTTATAAATTAATATTTATTTTATTTCATATAAATTATAAGATATATACAGTATATGTCCTATAAATTACCATAAATAGAACTTATATTAATTACTCTTGAAGGATCTTCTGGCGTGGCAGCATTTTCTAATAATGGCATGGCACTGTTTCAATTTTATAAAAATATAAATATTATATTATATAAATATTATACTAATAACATATTAAAAAAATAATAATTACACTTGAGTTAAATCAAAGATTCTTTTAAGGTTCAAATTCATCACTTTCTAATTTTTAGGTGAAAGAGAAATAACATTAAGAAAATAATCAAATAAAATCAAAATAAAACAACCTTCAATAATAATAGACATTTACTTCAAAGGCTTTATCAGTATATTCATCAAACTTTTGAGCCCAAGCTGCTCCTGCATTATTAATTAATATATCTAATTCTGCATGAGATATAATAAATAATAATAATAATTAATAAAATTTTTATATCTATCAATATTTTTTCTCAATTACCAATTACAACACTTACTTCCATTTTCTCTTTTCTCAATTTCTGAAACTAATCTTTTAACTTCACTCAATTCTTGTAAATTTGCTGGTAAACTAATTGCTTCACCTGGACCTAATCATATTATTATTGTTATATGTTTAATTTTATTTTTAAACATTCTAATTTCAATTTATATAGTTGAAAAATAATTCTCACTGTTTTATCAATCAATATATACATATATATATACCTTGAGCAGTTAATTCCTTTGCCACTTTGTCACAAACATCTGAAGATCTTGAAGAGATATAAACTTTAGCTCCATTAGATACAAATCCTTCAGCTATCATCAAACCAATTCTAACAAACATTAAAAAATTTAAAAAACATTAGGAAAAAATAATAAAATTTATAAAATTTATATATAATAAGTTACCCCCTTGAACCACCAGTTATCAACACTTTTTTACCACTAATTCCAAAAAGTGATTTAATATCCATAATTATAACAATAATTATAACAATGATAATGATTTTTTAAAAAATTTTAAATTTCAAAACACAAAATTTAAAAGTTGTGTATTTTTAATTCTAATAATTCACAATTAGAAAAAAGTTTTACAGATGTTATATCAGAATATCCAATATAATATTTTCCTTTTTAATTATAGATTCAAAACTTATGGTATAAAAATGTATCAAGTGACAAAAGTTGCATACTATGAAATTTTGCACTTTTGTTATGCAAAGTCACATGAAATCATGCAACTTTGTAGATAGGAAGGAACTTGGGTTTTTTTCAAAAATGAAAGAATCTCTTTTAAATAGTTTACTCTTAGGCAACTGTGGATTCCACGTATATGAATTTTATGAAAAAAATTAATAGAATTACAACATTACAAAAAAAAACGTGTATAGCTAGTTTTTAAATAGTAATTCTCAACTATTTTTATGAAATTTTATTATTTTAAATTCAAAAAAAAACTTATTACAAATTATTAATTCAGTCTTGCATGCTGCAGAATAACAAGTTATCCAACTTTGTATAGCATTCATTACCTGTATGAAAAAAACCTTGCAAAATGGTAATTATTTTTAGAAAATTTTTGTCCCGCCTCCATCCTTTTTTCAAATTGTCTATAGAAATTATTTATTAATAAAATTATTTCTTTGAAATAAGTTTTTTTATTGGGCTAATAAGGAAAAGTAAATGCAATAGCTGATATATCCAATGGCAGACAGAAGGTCAATATGCTAGATCTTTACTTAACACGGGAAAAAAATTTTCTCCAGCACAAGTTCAAAAAATTATCAAAAGCAAAAGCAACTAAACCTCGTCCACAAACTTCTATTCATGTAACTTCTTACAATATACATTGTATATTTTTACTATTTAGGACAAATTGTTTTCCGATGCAAATTGGCAATATAATGTAAATCAAAAGTCTATAATGGTCATTATTAAAAAATAATTTATTATTATTATTATTATTTTTCTAAAAATCTGAAAACGGGGTTTTTTTAATTTAATACCAATATTATCAAAAGAATTTTTAAAAAATTAATGGACAATTTGGATCTTAACTTTTCGTTGATCGCCAAACCACCATTTAACATTGTATTTAAAGACTGAATTATGCAAGAAATGCAAATTTGGGATGTTCTCCGATTAGCAATTAAAAACTTTTAGAAAAAACGAACATTGAAATTTTGACAAGATCCTACTATTGATTCAATGATAGGTACAACCAAAATGAACACTGACTGATGATAAAACTCTTAATTGATTTTAATGAAAAGAATATTCAACATTTAGTTAGTGATTAGTGTGTAACTTTTATAAAAAGTTATGTAACAATTATGCAATGTAAAATAATACTGTTATAAAAAATTTTATAACAGTCAAACACCCACCTAAGACTCCAAACGAATCAAATCGAATCGAATTTTAGAATGATTCAATTTGATTCAACTCATTCGATAGTCAATTCAATTCAATTCGAATCAAACCGGATTTTATTAAAATTTATATTACACAGTGAACCTCAATATAGTGTACCTTGATTTAACGGATAATAAAAATAAAATTCTTTTCAATATAACGAACTTCTTGATACAGTCATACATTGTTACAACGAATTATTGGGACACATACACTACCCGTACAAAAGTTTGTGAACGATTTTTTCGTTAATTATGCAGAATGCACATAATAAAAATACATAAAATTTCAACATTAGATAGCCTATATTCTTGTTCGTTTCCGTTATTTCTAGTACTTTATTAATTAAAAAAAAAGTTTTTGAAAAGATCTTCAAAAAGTCAAAATTGAAAAAAAAAAACGACTAATATCTAGTGGGCCACCCATCATTAGAAATGCATACCTCGATTCTTCTTGGCATACTTTCAAATGGGCTTTCTAAAGTTTCGTAAGGTATTCTTCTTTCACTGCAACTTCCAATTGGTAAATTTTTTGCCGATCGCGATTTAGATCTATAGTTGACCATGTTCGTCATAGCAAGCTAGATGTGTCACATGATAGTATCATATTTTAATTCAATTGTTTTTATCTAAGAGTTTAAAATAAGCAAATGGTATATATGACTTTAAAAGTGAATGATCCTTTATTGTATTTATTGATTAGAAAGCTTGTGAGAATTATTTCTATCAATACAAAATTATAAGACACTCTTACAAACAGACTTTATTTATTATCTTAAAAAAAAACCTATATATACAGAAGATTTGTGGATAATTGATAAATAGATAGCCGTCATAAAAATGAATAATTGAACCCGAATCAAACACAACATTATATTCAAATAAAAATAAACTGTGAATTGTTACAAAGCTACTCGATCATTTTATTCTCAAAATAATGGTTGAGGTCATAATCGTGTAATTTTCCGCCAAAATTCATCCGCCAATTTGAATTCCAGTGAAAATATTCGACATCCGCAAAATTAAAATATCCGAAATTAATATTCAATTAAAGAAATGACAACGAATCAATGTCCTTAGTACACTATGGCCTCGATAAGTCATAACAGATAAATTTTGTGGATGTTCAAAATATACATCGCCCGGATATTTCACATGCCTGGATATTTTAATTTTGGCGGAAAACTACACGATTATGTTGAGGTCAGCTTGTTTAAAATTTTTTGAATGACTAACCAAATTTGTCTATTTAAACTTTACTTCACCAAATTCTGGTTCTTGCTGATACAAATACTTTAAAACTATATCTACTGACTCTTTGGCTACTGTATTACTTATTATCTCAATTTCTTCCATTGATTCAACTTCCTCTTCACTAATCTCTTCCTTCTGGTTTACCATTTCTATTATATCTTCATCAGTGAGGCCTGTCCAAACATTTTCATCCTCAACGTGAACGTATTCATTTGTCAAAAGATTGTTACCATTTGGTAACTTTTCAAGAATATATTATATATTTACTATAGTTTCGCTCTGTCTGAATTCTGGAGTTCTCTATGTGTACCTAAATTTGTTCCACAGTCATAGTATACTTAACTATTTAATATATGTTCACTGTCTTATGATTTATCATTGAAGCTTGACTGTTTCCATATATTAATTATGTTTACTGTCTATAACACTTCCAAATCTTTCTACTCATCTTCATCATTAATACTGAAAGGTTCAATGATTGTTCTTTTTGGAAGGATACCAGTCTTTAGCCAGCAGTTAGGTATTGTTTGTTGTGATACATTAGATCATGCTTCCGCTACATTTATTAAAGCATAACCAGCAAGTATTTTTGTAGCATCATCTTGAAAATTATCATATGCTTTAATTTGGTTTTGAACAAATAGAACCCTACATTTACCTTAGATCCCAGCATCACAAGGTTGAAGAAAAGTTGTAGTATTTGGTGGAAGAAATTCAACATTTACATTATCAAATTGTTTTACAATTTCTTCAATAATAATATGGTGCATTAACAATTAGCAATAGGATATTTCTATTTTGATTTTTCATATTCTTGTTAAATGTGAGGAGAATTTCATTAAAAATCCCAACTTGCATCCAAACTGACTTATTCCAATAGTAACAAACAGGCCAGTTATTGTAATTTAAATTTTGCATTTCTTGGGTCTTTGATATTTATGAATAAAACTAAGTTTTATCTTCCCTGTTCCCAGAGAATTTGCAGCACAAAAAATCGTCACTCAAGATTTATCTTTTTTGTGATCTGATAGTTTAGCACAAGCCAAAACGCGCGTGAAGGTTCCATCTTTCAAAAGAGGCCAGCTCATCACCAACAAGTTTCTGTAATGAAATTCATTCATTTTCTAATTGATCAACAGATGGTGCATCTGCAGCTTCACCTTGCTTTCTGAATTGACAGAATCTGTAGTAATTTTTTAAAGCATGTCAACTACCCATCTGGTGAATTATAATCATTAATTGAAAACTGAGTTGCAAAATAGGTTGCTTTCTCTTTCAAAATATTGCCAGTAATGTCTTATGTTTGCGCATTAAGTGCATTATTAACCCAAATATTAAGAGCTCCTTTAAGTTGTGGCCACTTAGATCTGCGAAATTTTTTCAAATCATTTTGTTCGATTGTAATGGAAAGCCAATGTTTTTTCTCTTTTAAGATATTAGTCACTGTTGCTTTCCCAATATTGTATCGACTGGGAAGATCTACATCGATTAGACTTGGATTACTTTTTTTTCGTCTCATAAAGTTTACATTTTTGGGCAGCAGAAAAACTTGTTCTTTTTCGAGTTGACGTGTTGTTTACTAGCAATATATTAAGTATGTGTCGGTACCAAATAATCTGGAAATTGAGGATATTTATAATAAAGTAATTAACATTACTACTACTAATCACGCAAATTCTTTTTTTTTAAAAAAGCCATAACATAATATCATTAATACTAATTGATAATACATAAATAAATGAATACTGAAATATGGAATATAATACCATTATTATTTTAACAATAATTTTATTGAATGGTTTTGTACTGGGTGGCAAAGGTTACGTTTTTTTTTTTATGCATTATGGTACACATGATATTACATGAAAATTCGTTATTATTATAGGAGAACAAATTATATCAAAAGGGTGGATTCGGGTACGTTATTAATTATAAAATTTCGGTTGTGGCGATTTTTGTTCGCCATATCAATAGTGGTTGTATCCGTTGATTATCCGGGTGTTTGAGCAATTAGTCAATCAATAAAACTCAACATATGGATAATTGGTCAGTCAATAGAATTCAACACCCGGATAATTGGTCATTCACCGAATATCCGCTGAATATCCACTGAA